ATTTAATTTAAGTTTGTGATTTTTTCGATCCGCAAACAACCAACAAGACTCACAATATACTTTATTTAAAACTAATGAATAACACAGCCACATTCTAGGTACTTTAACGTGAATACCGAAAATCTGGAAAGCATAATAACCTCAAAAATACCTATTATTTGTTCACTTATTAGTTATTTAACCATGGACCAATACTAACCATAATAATGCATGTGGACTACAGCACCTATGATATGAACAAATTATTTATCAATTGTTATTACTTATTAATTAACTTAACCACTTGGACCTCAAATGTTTTAAAAATATAAATAATACCTATTATCATAAGAAATTTAAATTTAAAAATATAAAAAAAAACTATATCTAGTTACATAGCTACTTTGCTACATCAATGCATCAGTATCATTGAAGTTAATTTTTGATTTACCAATACAAATCTGGAGATATAATAAACATTGATACATCGACAAACAATCGATGTACCGTTGACATCCCTATCTATGCTAGATTACTGATTAGTTCATTGTTACTGGCAAGTGGCAACAGCGTGCTACTAGATTATTAACAATAGTATTTAATATTTTTAATTATTTAATTATTAATTTATAAAAACAATTCATTTTAATAACAGATACTTATTTATACATTACTAGAAACACTTTAAGTTTGATCAAAGCTATCTTTGGAATATAATATATATTTTTAAAGTTTTTCCAGTAAAGGGTATTTGTATAGACATTGGAAAATAATTTCTTTAAGCAAGTATTTACAAAATTTGAAATGTCTATTCCTCTCAATGTTTTGATTATTTTTATCCATAAAATAAATTACATTATTAGGATAAGAAAAGATAAAGTACATATTATAATGGTTGATTGAGAAACATTAAATTTTCTTTTATTTCTGATAACTTTGTTCAGTTTATTCAATAAATAATAAATCATTTTATATACCTACCTACAACCTATTCTGATAAGTGTTTAAAAATAAGACACATATTTTTGTGTATAGGTAAATCTATAGTACACTGCCATTTAAAATAAAAATAGTATTTTTGTGAATAAAGTAGGATTAGAAAATCAATATTTAAATTATATAGGTATTAGAATATATAATAGATTTTAAAACTTATTAATAATAATCAAGAGTAGACATGTACATCTAGTCAAATTTGTTTATTAATTATATAAACATTATTAAAAATCATATACAAAAAAATATTTGATTGCACCAGAAAATAAACAAATGCTATATATTATATAGCATTTGTTTATTTTATAGTATATAATATTATATATTATAACCTTGTTTATAATTTGTGGTATCGGTACTTATGATTAACATCCTATCCATCATCTACATATAATATTATATAATATCATTATTTTCAAATAATGATTAGGGATTTACCATTATTTTAAAAATTCCCTAGTAAAATAATGTCCGTTATTCGGAGAGTCCGCTATTCGGAGGTTTTCCTATTGAAAAGTAATAAAAATGTCCCCGTTCCCCAAAAAACGTCCGCTATTGGGAGGTGTCCGTTATTGGGAGGTGTCCGCTATTGGGAGGCGTCCGTTAGTGGAGGTTTCACTGTATATTATTAAAAATACATTATTTTATTTTCAACATACAAAGACAAATGTATGCTGTTTTTAAACATGTCCATAATACTAACAGAAATAAATTAAATTTTTAGCATAATTAATAATTGAAAATTTCCTAGGGTTCATAAGTTATAACTTGTCAAATGTCATAAAATTTATATGAAGGTACGTTTACGGTATTAAAACATTGGACATTAACAATAATTAAAACAAATCATATTTGGTATAAAGAATTGCCAACTAAAATATTTACTATAATCTGTTATTTGTTTGATTTTTAAATAAAAAAAAACCCCTGAATATTACTATTAAAATCTATTAGGTACCTACCAAAGAAAGTATATGGCAACACATGAATACATTTAGTACGACCTAATTAAATTAATACCTACTTTAAAGTAGTTAGTCGTAGAGAAACAATTAAAAGTGATAAGTAAAAATAATAAACGTTATAATAAAAATATATGGCTTCAATTTGTCAATAAGTATATAAATCTAATATTCTGTTAAACCTATGTGTCATACTACAGCTAAAAATGTGTATTGAGATTTGCATAAAAAACATTGCTATATAATTTAAAATTAATTGTTATACACTGAGTCAGTTTAAAATAATAATATTATTTATTATTAATATGTACCTAGATATCAGATATGAAATTAAAACTTATTAAAACACAAAATATTAATTTATATTTAGGTAATTTGTGTGAATGTCCACTTTTAACAATAGTATAGGTACCTACTGGCTACTATCGTAGTTAAATATAAGTCAATAGAAAACTATGTATTTACTTGGACAAGAATACTTTTAGATACAACAGTTGATTTACAACTTAGCAATTGACAGATCTCATTGTTATGTATGTAAATACTATATACACGTATAACCAATGAAATGTATCGTTACTTTCATGATTTATAATTTGATGGTATGTTTTTGATCTTAGAGTTCAAAATTGACAAGTGTGTACACTTAAAGAACCTCTGGCGAGACATAGCGTCCTGTAAGTTCTGAGTGTTTTCAAATGAGTTTATATGTGGAACTGCTGTAATGGCATTATGTAAGTGTTCCATCTTGTGTCACTACACAAGTGAATAATAATCATGAAAATAAGTAATAAATAAGCATCGTCCAAGTATTGCAACCAGTTACAAACAATATTTGTATATACAAGTAGTACCTATATTATGTGCAGTGAAGTGGACAAATACATTAAAATATTAGATGATGATGATAATATAATAGATATTTAATTTATAAGGTACTAAAAGTGTATAGGTATATAACATTAATTTGTATTATAATATTTCAATAGCACTATTAACTGTTTGTAAATTGCGATTATATTACATATATTGGTATCACACATATTTTAACAGAACTGTAGACAATTTCATTTGAGCCAAGAAAATTATTATTTTTTTTTTAAATTTAATTTACATAGGCTATAGAACTATAAGTCAAGATAACGTTAATTTACTACTGTCAGAATTGAGAAAAATACTAATATGAAATGTCAATTTTTATCAAACAAAAACTAAATCAAATTATTTCTCTACGAATATCTATTTACAGTTATTGGTGGCACCGTATGATTAAATTAAAAGTATGGTGATTATACTTATACTTTATACTAAAAAATTAAAATACTGTAAAAAAAAATTCTGTACTTAATACATCCCACATATAAATTAACAAAATAAACAGTTGTTATAAATAGTGATGGGCACCACCAAATAGTTTGGACAATCAATTGTCTATCGATAGTTTCAAAAACTACCGAGTAATTTTTCAATTGTATAGATATTATTATTCATCGATGGTTTTTAAAACCATCGAATGAATTGCTCGAAAGTTTTCATTCGTTAGTAGAACAGACTAGTTTTAACTATCGATAGTTTTCATTCGGTAGTAAATAGTAATACAAGTCTAGTACCAACTAATTTGACTATCGAGTTAAAAAAAAAACATGTGATTTTTCGGTATAATCGACTGAATTTTCTTGATAATTTTCACTTTTTAAATTTTTATTAGGTAAGTTGGCCTAAAAATTAATCAAAACAGGTAATATTTAATCTTATTCTCAATTGTCTCGACGTCTTCCAGGCGAATATACCACCTAAAATATTGGAACGGGGATGTTTTACATACAAAATCCATATAACCTAATATAATCCATATAACTTTTTTGTATACATTTTTAATTTATTAGCTTTAATTAATACAATCTAATCATAGGCGAATGGTGGGGTGGTGGATTGTCTAAGGGGCTATAGCCCCCCTAGAATTTTGTCGAGCCCTCCCATTTCGTGAATTTTTTTAGTTACATTTTTAGAATATATGTTGTGTACCAGAAATTTAATTGGCTATAGCCCCCCCCCCCCATATAAATTCATCACCATACGCCTATGAATCTAATTAATCTAAGTATTAAAAACTATGGAATTGTATTATGAGAAGAAAATCATAATAAATTATACGATAGGTTTTTGGTAGGTAACTCTTATTTGGAAAATAGTAAATACTAAATACTGAGTATTTTAGAATTTTATAAGCTATGTATGATTTGTACTAGATGGACAGTTGATACTTGATATAGAACTAAAACACTATAAAAGTACACACAATTTATCCAAACTAGTTGGATATATTTTACTATTTAGAGTTTAAAAAAAAACAATCAAAATAAGTATTTTTATTTTTATTTTTTTATTTTACTTTTTTAATAGTGTATTATCAAGTTTTAAATGGATTCTTATGTTACAACTTACAATAAATTATTAAAATAGATATGTGCAGTACTAGGATTAATGACATTTATACAAGTTAAAAAATTTGTATGCAGGATGGGCCGCAAGCAGTCTGTCATTGTTCACCCCATATTTCATACTCACCACAGCTATAAATATATTAGCTTAAAATTGCAAATTTATATGTCAACTTCAACTATGTTCCACATATCTTTAAATAAAAATTATAAACAGCAATATACCCTTATATGACCTTCCAGAGGTATATATTCAATCTTCAAACCAGTTGAATATTATCTGCGAAATAAAAAAAATTAATATTTTCAAACTACAACAAAATGTTGGTTTTAATTTCGAAACATAAATTATACTGTATATTTTTATTTTTTACTACAATAAAATAAATAACTACATTACCTTATCACATACTTGTGCCTAAAATTAAAAAAACTTACATATTTTTGTTTAAAAAAATTAACTTATCGACATTTTGAGGCAATAACCTATTACGCCGAGCGCTTAATATTTTCCCAGCTTTAGAAAAAATTCTCTCGGCCGGAACTGAAGTGGCTGGAATAATACAGTATTTCAATGCAATGTCACTAAGTGCTGATAATACAGTTTTGTTGGGAAATATTATTAGGTAGGAGTAAATTCCTCAATGACTATATTACCTATTTTGCCTAGCTCTTGTTCTCCTATCCATATCTGCAAACGATGCCCGCAAACTTCACACGTTTTAAAATATTTTAATAAATCTAACAACGTTTTTTTATCTTTTACTAACACATTATTCTTTTTATTACGAGAACTCAACTGCATTTTATTTATATTTTCACGACTGAAAACGGTTCTACAACGAGAATTACTACTTATACAGAAGTATATATCTATAGGACTGTCATTAATCGAGCTTCCTGCCACGAGGTATTCTACATTTAAATAGCTGGTGAAAATGTAATCTTTCTCTTCATTCAATATGGTCATCATATTATAACCGAAATGTAATATGTATGCCATCTCGACATATGTATCACAAAAATAATTGGTTCTTATTAAATCAAATTCACAAATTGTATTAGATATCCTTAAATCTATTAAAATAGGATTATATTTAATTTTTCTTATAATTCTATCATTCCGGGTAGTATAATTCTCCATACAACCAGTACCCTCAACCCAATGTATTTTTTCTTGTTCCAGATTAATCGAAGTATAAATATAAAACCATGTCATAATATCAGACTTAAAAATAATTTTATCTGCATAATAGTTCACATATTCCCATAGGAATCCATCTAATAAGTTATTTAGAAATACATACGTTTCACCTAATTCGTAATTACTAGTTGCGAAAACCGGTGACAATGTTTCCGATCGCATATCTTGGTCGTCGTTGGTAGATGTTGGCAGCTCGTTAGTCTCGTCATAGGGAGTCATGGACTGTTCAACAGCTTCATCGTAGGCAATGTCAGTCCCGTTTCACCCGTGTATTCACGGTCCAAGTCATCGATTGTGTTTTCATAGTCTTCAACTGCTCGCCTCCTGACCCTAGAATGTGAATGATTAAATAGAAATAATAATAAAAATTAAAAAAAAAAATATAAAGTCTATACTCACAGTTCTATACCGTATATATTTATTAAATCATCTATATTTAGCAAAGGTTCGGATAAACGACGTGTGCTCTTCGATGTAGGTAATACAAACATTAATAAAGATATAAATGATATTATCGAAATCATTTTATTTTGTCGAAAACAATAATATTTATCTCCGTGAATAAAAATGTTAAAGACTTTGAGAATGAATGATAGACCTATACCGTATATATTTATTAAATCATCCGTTCAGTGATTATGAAGTGCGAGTCGTAGTTTGAGAGATTATGAAAAAATACGGGGACAAATTTAGGTTGCTGCAACTCCAGGTTACACCTGGAGCACAAGGTCTGCCTAAATTTGCCCGTGAGATGGTCATGATCCCTAACATTATCGCCCCCGACTAATATGCATTTGCATGAGTTACACGCATTACACTCTTGATGTGTTTTTTCTTCACCCTCGGTCATGATTAAAGGAATATTCGTCTTCATCAGACCTTCAATTTTCCGGGCCACATCAACAATCGACTCCATGAAATGTCTCGCCACGTCCGTCCTGTCTTCGCTGCCTCTGTAGATTACCGGACCCGCCGGTATCTCGTGTTGAACCAATAAATCCGCCGGCACGTCCTCGCTCGCCTTCACCAAAAAACCGTAGCTCATCGCTTCGTGTTTTTGAGTAATCGTGGTACTACCCCCTCTCGCCTCCTCCGCCTTCGCCGAGATCGCCTCGAAATCCGCTTAAATTACAAACGGGTGCCTCACCGTGTTTTTCCACGCCCTGAACTCAACACAATCACCCTCCTTCGGCATCTACGGAAAAATTTTCTTGTTTATGAGAACTAGAGACTGGCTGTGTATTTCGGAAAGACGTGGATTATACTCATCTCCTCCATATACCGGAGTACTCGGTGATGAATTATTTGACATCTAAAAATCGGATTATAGATAATTCTTGAAATATCTTATGAATAATATAGAACAAAATACTCACATTTTTACCGGTAATGATTATCACAAACGAAATATAAAAAATAATAAATACCTTCTATGGTAAATAAAAATCTCATATAAGTAGATAAATCCGTATCTGAATATCTGTTGAGAAAAACTGTAAACGCAAAATGTGTGTACACCGGACAAAAGACTGGATACACACTGATCGATCAGCCACATGGGTAAGGTACCGACCGTCCGTTGATCTCAAACATTTTATGTTGAAGTAGGGGTGAAACATTTGATTTAAACATTTACTTTGTTCGAATTATGTTTTTTTAAATATTTTCAACTTTTTAGAGAAACACGATGCTAGGTGATTTACAAAAGTATATACATTAATCTATCTCAAGTATAATTATTAAATTATATTACATGATAATATTTACAATATATATAACAAACTATATAACGTTTAATATTTAAAATAAAACTAATTAACAGAAAAAAAAAATATACAATATATAAAATCAGGTTATGTAATGTAGAAGGCCTCTCATTAATCCTTTCTCTTCCTCGTTCCAGTTCCTTCCATCTTCCTCAAGTTCTGACCGTATGACATCTTCTCTGTAAAATTAAGAGAAAATATTAGTAAAATAATCTAAATATATATTTTATAATAACTTACTCTATACTATAGTGTCCATGTGCTAGTGTATGTATTTTATCAACTAGTACCACCCTCTAGTCATCGTAGCTGTTATATGTTAATTTTTTAGTCTGTATCGTCATGAGTTGATGATTGAATGACCGTATTGAAACATTCTCTGTATATAATTCCACTCCTTCTTCATCAAACAGACACTTTCTATGATCCTCAAGAGTCATGTGGTTTTTAACCACATGACCTCTTATCCCCTTCGCTTTGATTTTTTCACCACCAACTCTGTCGTCTTTCTCTCCATCCTCTTCTCCAACATATACATTAAAAGCGTAGGACTTTGCCCTCAACTTACAAAACTCCGTAATAGCATTAGCATCCACCTCATCGGAAAAGTATCCCGGGCTCTTCTTCCTATCTGTCACATAACACGGATGGTCACTGGGCAGGTTAGCGGTGTCCATCCGGTCCAACAAGCTACTGTTAGCCGCCAAGTCTACATAAAAGTCATCGGTATAGACATGGTAAATCAGTGAATCTGAAAAAGAATGATATTAATATATTATATACATGAGTATAGTTTTAATATAATATTTACCTGTGTCAGTATACATTAGTTTAATCCTGTCTCCATAATGCCTCTGCATGACATCATAATGGTACTCATACATTAGCGTTTTGCTAATGTCCAGCACAGCGAATCCTGTAAAAAGTTAATGTGTTAATAAATGTATTATTGTATATTATATAAAATATATTTACCAATATATATAGGTTTGTCAAATTTAATAATTTTATTTTCAATTTAAGATTCTCATTATAAGTAGTACAGTGTTTAAATGTACTCTTATTAATGAGTTTCTGTAATCTCCTCTCACACGACACCAACTCCATCTTCATCTCTTTCCTTTTAGACTGCATTGTTTTACCTGTAAAAATAAAATATTAATAAAAATATAATAAATAGTATAAAGTAACATACCAAATACAGCATTGTTCATCAGCTTAAATAAGTCTTTCTCAAAATCGTTCTTAGCCTTCTTCCTCATCTCTGTGTTTAACTTAATATATTTAGCCAGCCAATCTGACTGGTTAAACTGAATAACTCTGTGCACCTATAAAAAATAAGAGAAATGTTAAAAATCTGTTTAAAACCATATAAAATACAAATATTTACTTTTTCAACTATCAAAAAATTCTTAATGGCCTGCTTTAGGTTCCTATAATGTATGATGTAATTCTCCTTTTTCTCAAATGTCGCCATCAACTTCCTAACCTTCGAGCCTCGAGGCACTCTGTTTTGCGTCAGGAAAGGCAGGTCGTTATGTCCGTTATGCAAGTGTCTTGGGTACGACACGTCCACCTCATACACTCGTCCTATGGGGGAGGTGTCATCCAAATCGTTCAATCCATTCATTGTAGGTTCAACCCAGTTGAAGCCACCGTACGGCATGTACTGGGACATTGCCCGCCCGTACAAGTTCTTACCTATAAAATTTAAAAAATATTATTAAGTAAGAAAAAAATTAACAAGTTTTGAAAAAAATATACTCACAGTCCTGATATATTATCCACGATTTCTCCTTCGTTTCGTCATACCCCGGGGTCTTTACATTGTTCGCCTTCGCATATCGCTTGATCGCCTGCACCAATCCTCCACGTATACCTATAACAAATATATAAGATTATTATATTATATTAATTTTTAAAAAAATAATATACTGATCATTTTCGAACATCAACAACATGTCGTAATCATGCAATAACTGGAGCTTTTGCCCCGTGAACTTAAGCATCGCATCGAAACTTAAGCCTGGGGCGGTGAAATAATGGGCGGCGTCCAGGTTATACGCTCTCATGCACACGTCGCGGAAGTTCTCGACAACGTCCGCCAACAACAACACGTCGATTTTAAGATATAGATCGCTGTACTTCCCCAACGTCGTACAGCCGAAGTGGTCCCAGACCTCCTTCACGTCTTCAAACTCCTTCTCCTTAATCCCGGTCTCCGTCAACGTGCTATAAAAATCCCTCTTACTCGGTAGTCTTGTCTCCTCCAACCACTCAAAACTATAAGTGTACTCGTACGGGTACACCCCCTTACGAATCACGAGCGGCATATCTCCGGCGACAAAATGTTTGGCTGTCTCACGGAAGTTCTCATGTTCGGGTGTAACTAAATTTTCAGCCAGGGACGACAGAATCGACGCCATAAACCGGAGCGTGTCGATAAACCGAACAGTGAAGGTACTACTTATATATTTCGAGAAAGATATAAATTTCTCTTCACTGTTCGGTATAACGTTGATAGTCTGAGTATCATACCCAGGTGTTGTCCCACTTTGGCACGAGTAGGTCACTGAGTGCGGTCTTGTTGACACGCATTGGAAGTCTGTGCAATGCGTCCGCATTGACTTCATGAGCAGCGGTGCCTCTCATTGTGTAATATTTGCCCTCTTGTTTATACCAATGCACAGAGGAGGAGCAATTGACCTCCGGTGCTTGCATTTTGATGTCTCCATTCTGTGTGTCCAAGTACCCAGACATCCATATCACTCCGTTATGGAAGTTGATCGGAAGATCGGAGTAACACACTGTCATGTTGGGGGTAGGAAACCATCTAGCCACAGGTTGGCAGGGCCAATAGAGTACGACGTCATCCATGATGTTGGCGGTGAGATACTCGTTGTCTAAAATCCACCTGATGAAGTAATCAGGCGCTGAGTTGAGTAGGGAGTTCAGCATACCGTCATGGACACCCATCCCCATACAGATGTTGTCGATGGCGGATTTCATAGGACTCAATGTGGTAGATGACAAATACTGGAATTTCCCTGTTACCTCTCCTTGCACAGCACCCACAGCATTCTTGACCGTCTCGTCCGTGTCTCTCTTCACCCTGGTGGTGGTCTCGGTCACACTCTTGACTATCACTGTCACACCCTCTTGCGTGATCTGTGTGCCCACCTTTAACCCAGAGGGTAGTGTGTAGGCCTCTTGCAGAGCGGACACAACAAGTATATTCCCTGTTCCTTCTGCCCTTCCTGTCCACACCGTTCTTTTCTCTTTCACGCTGGCGTCCACCGTCCAATACACGAGGCCCCCGTCCTTGGTGCGACAGTGACCGTCTGCATACTGGCACGGTTCCAATTCGGCTTTGTCGCTCCTGACTTTACCTTGATGTTGCCTGATAACATGCACCTGGGAGGCCAGGCAGTATTCGAGCAGAGTTCTCACCTCTTCCAGGTAGCTTGTCTCACATTCCGCCTTCACTTTGCGGTAGTAGGGGACAGGCTCGGCCTTGTACGGACAGAGACCACTCTTTATCATGTGTATTTCACTGAGAGAGATGGGTTGAGGGTCTTCCCACTGATTCACTCGGGTGGCCGTGAAGAAGTTCTCGTACACGTCACACACACTTTTGATCTTGTACACATATAATATATATTATATACCTATTATTTGCGAACATCAATATATTAAGAGATGGTAAATGTAACGCATTTCAATATAATATGTATTTAATATGTGCTATCTGTTAGCGTGACCTATATACTATTCATTTTACCCTGTATATATCAGAGTTGTAAAATAATTTAAAATTACTAACACTTACGTCCGCCAACAATCGTTCGATCATAGTGACTTTCACGCATCAACATACTGAGAACTCTCAATTCTATATTACACCGTCGAGAAAGCGATCTCGCATGTGCTGACCATATCCTAGCCCTCTCGCCTGAATTTTGGATAAGTGAAAAGTCATGGTACAACCGTCTTAAATAAATAATTGTGTCAGGGTTAGCTGACCGAACGACCGGTGGCTCAATTATCTCACTGAATAAAAAAAATATGTGTATATAAATATATATCAAAATAATTTAAAATTACTAACACTTACGTCCGCCAACAACAGCACATCGATTTTGAGATACAGGTCACTATATTCGCCCAACGTATTGCAATCAAAGTGGTCCCAGACCTACTTCGCGTATTCAAAATCTTCCTCCTTAATCCCGGTCTCCGTCAACATACTAAAAAAATCTCTATTACTCGGTCGTCTCCTGTATTCCAGATACTCCCAACTATCTGTGTACTCGTATGGGTACAGCCCCTTACGAGTCACGAGCGGCAAATCTCTGGCGACAAAATGTTTGGCTGTCTCACGGAAGTTCTCATGTTCGGGTGTAACTAAATTTTCGGCCAGGGACGACAGACTCGACGCCATAAACCTGAACGTGTCGATAAACCCAACAGTGAAGGTACTACTTATATATTTCGAGAAAGATATAAATTTCTCCTCACTGTTCGGTATAACGTTGATCGCCTGTGTATCATACCCAAGTTCAGTGATTATGAAGTGCGAGTCGTAGTTTGAGAGATTATGAAAAAATACGGGGACAAATTTAGGTTGCTGCAACTCCAGGTTACACCTGGAGCACAAGGTCTGCCTAAATTTGCCCGTGAGATGGTCATGATCCCTAACATTATCGCCCCCGACTAATATGCATTTGCATGAGTTACACGCATTACACTCTTGATGTGTTTTTTCTTCACCCTCGGTCATGATTAAAGGAATATTCGTCTTCATCAGACCTTCAATTTTCCGGGCCACATCAACAATTGACTCCATGAAATGTCTCGCCACGTCCGTCCTGTCTTCGCTGCCTCTGTAGATTACCGGACCCGCCGGTATCTCGTGTTGAACCAATAAATCCGCCGGCACGTCCTCGCTCGCCTTCACCAAAAAACCGTAGCTCATCGCTTCGTGTTTTTGAGTAATCGTGGTACTACCCCCTCTCGCCTCCTCCGCCTTCGCCGAGATCGCCTCGAAATCCGCGTAAATTACAAACGGGTGCCTCACCGTGTTTTTCCACGCCCTGAACTCAACACAATCGCCCTCCTTCGGCATCTCCGGAAAAATTGGCTTGTGCGCCCCACAAATCAATTTATGTTGGTCCAGGGCCTCCTGTCCGCTCAACTTGAATTTTAAATTTTGGTTGTCAAAGCTGGTGAAACACCTCTTGCAGAAAATAGCGCGATGGCGTTGATCATGTTTGGTTTTTTGTGCACGTATGAGCCGGGAAAAATTTGAAATGTAAGCATAGTGCGAGTTGTCGCCGTCCGTTACCAATAACAGGTCGAAGTGTTCCTTTTTTTCTTCGTCGACCACACGCAGCGGGTACACTTCGTACGTTGGGTACTTACGGGGCGCCTGGAATTTTTTGCCGAGCCCGTAGACATTTATGGAGACGTTATTATTATTTTTTTCAAATTTGGTGATGTCCGATAGTTGTGTCGGGAACGCTATACCATCAAAATTGTACTTGCCCTCATGCTGACTATATTTATCTCCCTCCACACGAAATGCCGACGGCCCCGTAACATGTCTCGCCAAAATCGCCCACTTGAAACACTCCTGATCCGTGTTTTGTGGGTTGATGGTTCCCCGTTTTCTATCTATATATTCCGGCAGCTGAATATATGACGATCCACCCATCGGCATATATTTATACACCATTACTAATAGTCCGTCTATCGACTCTAGGGCGAAACCGCTTCCCCTCCCGATGTAATCGTCTTTCTCCTGAACCAACTTCATGTACGCCCTCTCTACAATGGTTTTTATATCGCTGTCAGGGTATATTTCAACTGCCGAGGTCTTGAACGAACGGTTCTCCGATGAATTTGGGACGTTGGGCCGGTTGTATGTCGCCTCTAGTTTAAGGCTAAATTTTATTGCCTTTTTTTGTACGGTGGTCTTTAATAAATTTATTAGTTCAGTCATGAGGGGTCGAAGAAAGTCTGAATAAATCATTGTATTGCGCGATTTGAATATCTCTCTGCGGAGCGGCAAGAGGCGCGAACTGAATGACGCTTGGTCGTGCTGGTTGAGCGGTGATCGGCGCAGCGGGCATTGGTCTCAAATGAGCCGGAACGTTGTCGATACCTTAGGAAAAATAATAAATTAATATTGTATAAGATAGAAATAAAACTTTATATTATTAAGACATACCATGAATATTCTTTATATGTTTGTTGAGCCCGGTTTTGTAGGAGAATGTTAATGGGCAAGCAGTGCATGGAAAACGTACACCCATATGTTTTTTTTGGTGGGCGACCAAATTGTGTTTCATGGTGAATACTGACGGACACTGATCGTAATTAAACATGTTTAAAATGTTTGAAATGAAAACAAACGAGAAGAATATAGTATTTAAACACTGACAAAATTCAACACTTGAAAAAATTGTAAATACTGATGAATAAGGACTGTGAAAACACGGAGACAACAAAGGCAAAGTAAACGTAAAGGTATGGCCCTTAAAATTATAGGATCTAGATAAAATGAGAATAACAACATATTTTTAAATTTTTTTTATTAAAACAAGACATAAAAATATTTTTTTAAACGTTTCGTTATAGAGATCATACGAAAACTATAATGAAACTTGTTTTGTTCATACCCCGAAAAATTAGCCTGACCGGATCGACCAAATAATAATTTGTATTCTACGGTAAAAATCTACTATTTAGATTTGAAAAAAAAAAAAAAAAAACTAGACTTCAATGTTCTAAATAATAATAATATTTTATTTTACACAATTATTTATATTACATTTTATCATTAAATTTTGAAATCAAACGTTTTTTCCAGTGTTCAGCACAATTATCTTTAAGATCACTGCTATCCCACTCGTAGTCGGTCGTTTGCCCGGATTGTATGTCATCTGAAAATTCAAAATATGAGTTTTTATTTTTTTCTATAGTCATTTTATTTATATATTATATATTAAGATATATCAAGACTCACTTAATACTTCCACTTCATCGGGAAATCGTCCGGACAAAAGATCAAGTCCCGCTTGTGAATAATTAGAGTCCGGCGTCTCCCACGTAAACTGTTGAGCGTCTTGTTGCAACGACTGACTCAAATCGGTCGTTTTCCGCGAGAAACGTTGGCCGGGGTTGAATCCCAAATCTACTGGTGGCTCGACTATGCGTTCGACTTCTTGTAACGTGTAATTGCGCGGATCGTGCGATTCCGCGAATAAATCAGGTGACTAAAAATGAAATAAAATAAATTTTAATTTAAGTAGAGTGGTATAAAATTATAAAACTTACCGCACATCGAAACTTGAGCCCATAGTCGAAAAACGAGCACTCCTCTGACGACATATTAATATATCGTTATTACACGCGAGTAAATGTTTAACTCCAAAGACTGACTGACTGACTGACTGACTGACTGACTGACGGAGAAGTGCTAGCCATCAGAACACCGTATGTAGGCATATCAAATATCCTCGCCCCGCTTCTTATCACAGCGCGAATGGGCGGGGGTTTTTTAAAAATAATAATAATAACAATAATGTTGTCGAGACCTCGGTAAGATAAGGATAAGAAGATAAAGATGAGGTAAAATATGATAAGGATGAGAAGATTAGGTTGCGATACTAAAATAATAATAATAATTTAAAAACACGAGATTAAATACAAAACGTAGTTAATATAATATTTTAGCATCGTACACTCTCATATTTTTATATAAAACGGTTGTATTTCACGATTATACATTATACATATACATATATTTTATCAGGTTATATAAGTATGCAGTAGTCACATTTCACGATTATACAATTTATATAGATATTTTAATAGATTATAAATATATATATATATATATACAGATATGAGATCGTTGAACAATAATAACAATTTAATAATTTATGCGGTGATGACCGTGCGCGTATGTCGAAATGTTGTCCGGTAAGACATGACGCTTATCGTCAGCCCTGTTTAAAACTAATTTCATAGTCCTAATCGTACGCATTTCGTGTTTAAACGACCGTATAGAGACATCTTCTCTACATTTTCTGTAAAAGGCATATAGGTATAACAGTGTGTCGGATGTGTGGTCGACGGTGAATTTGTTGCAGACGTTGAGGCGTTCCGATGAATTTGTGCTACAGCTTTCAGCGCGGAGTCGGCTGCGATCATTTTCCCCATATTTGCGTCGAATTCGTCGTCACACTCGTCGGATTCTGCATCGTCGTCCACGTCGGCGAAAAAGCACCGCTTATGCTTGGCGAAATTTAGGTGATTTCTAATAACGTGTCTCATGACACCCTTCGCGCGAATTGTGACCTCCTCTTCCACGTCGTACGCATAAGACTTGGCGCGCAAAGCTACAAATTCGTAGACCGTCCTGGAGCCACACTCGAATTTAAAAAGTCCTGGAATGCGCTTCCGAGCAGCTGTATAGCACTTGTGATCGTGTGCGAAATTTGAGGTGTCCATAAACCGCATCAGATTTGGATTGTTGATCAAATCGGCGAAGAAATCGTTGGTCGTCACGCGGTAGAATAGTGAATCTGAAATATTAAATAAAAATAATTAATAATATATAAGATCTGCATGAGTCTGCAAGAGATTTATATAGACGTACCAGTATCGGTATAAAGCAGCTCGATCTTATCTCCATAAGGTCGTTTCATAACGTCATAATGAAATCCATACATTAAAACTTTACTCAGTTCCAGTACAGCAAATCCTATGTATATCGGCTTACAAAAATCGACTTCTTTATTATGTTGCGTGACGACCGAAAGATTTTCATTGTAAGTCGTGCAGTACTTGAACGTCGGGCGGTTTATCAGCTTCCGCATTCTGACTGGACACGATACAAGCTCCAAATCAAATCATAGGCGCATATTCTCGAAAGTTTTCCCTGCATACATATACATAGTTATCATGAAGTAAAGTTTGAGCAGGTTGAAGTTCGATAAAACATGTACAATTTATAACCATAACATACCGTACACTGAATTATTTAAATCTTTGAAAAACTTTTCTTCGAATTTGTTTTTCGCCTGCTTCCGCAATTCCGTGTTCAGATTTATGTACGGAGCCAGCCATGGTGATTGGCGAAATTCTAATACTCTGTGCGTCTATAATGTGTGTAAAAGTCATAAGAATCGTATTCGTCAAATAATAATTATATTAATAATAACTTTTTCGACTACGACGCCGTGGGCCATGGCCTGTTTTAAATTCATATAATGAACCACGTAGCGTTCTTTCCGCAGAAAAGTAACCATCAAGTTTCGCACAGAGGACCCGTGTGGTATGCTAGCGTGAGGCAGGAACGGCATATCGTTGTGGGCGTCGTGTAGATCCTGCGGATATATTATATCCACCTCGAAAAAATCTACCCACATCGTCCGTCGCGAACATCCACTCTAACTGAGCCAGCGCGACCTCTGGATTTCCCGCGTACCATACGAAATCCCCAATCGGCATATACTGACACATCGCGTACCCGTACAAATTGTTTGCTAAATAAATACGGTAAAAATGGATTAGTATACGCGCACATATATTTTATATTTTATAATCACCATCTAGGTATATGAGTGATGTGTTGGGTTCTTCCGCATTGTATCCCGGCGTCTCAGGATTGTTGGCACGCGCGTGACGCTTGCTAGCCTGAACCAGACCCTCACGCGTCCCCGACTCGACGAACAGAACTTTCTCGAAATCGGTCAAAAGTTCAAGATGAACTTTCGTAAGTTTTAGCATACAGTCAAAACTGAAGTCGGGTAACGTGTAGTAATGTGCGGGGTCGAGGTGATATGTGGCCATACATATATCCCTGAAATTCTCAAACAGGTCGGCGCTTAACATCACGTCGACTATAAGGTATAAATCGCTATAAGCGCCGAGTGAGGTGCAGCCGAAATGATTCCAGACCCTGGTCGCGTGACTATAATCCTTGTCGGTCACGTGCGTCTCAGTCAGCGCGCTGTAGAACTGGAACTTGTCCGGTAGTGACGTAGCGTCTAATTTATCCCACGAATCTGTATATTCATATGGATATACGCCTTTCCGCGTGACCAACTCCATCTCCGACGGGGTGAACACTTTCGCGACTACGCGAAACTTATCAAAGTTTGCGGAGGTGAGGTTCTCCGCCAAGTGCGCCAAGCTCGACGCCATGATTCGACACGTGTCTACAAACCTGACGGAGAACGAGTTGTTAATATACTTCGAGAACAAAATATATTTCTCCTCGGTGTTCGCTATTACCGATATTAGGTTATTGTCGCCGTCGCCCGCCAAATTCGTCACGATAAAATGGGCATCGTAGTTGGACAGATTGTGCAGGTAGCATGGTACAAAATTCGGTGTTTTCAACTTAAGGTTGCACGTGTTGCACAACGTTTTCAGAAAATGCCCCGACAAGTGGTCGTGGTGTGCAGTTTTACAATTGCGTTCACTAAACGTGCAGCTGCACAAGTCGCACATTGTCTTGACGTCATGCACGTGACAATCCTCAACACTCATAATAATCGGTACATTTACTTCCTTATATAATCTTGCTATCTTTTCAGCCACACCGAGTACGTCGCTGACAAAGCGTTTGGCAACATCGTCCTGAGTAGCTGAACCACGGAAAATGACCGGAGCTCGCGGTATGTCGAACTGGTCAAGCAACTCTATCGACACCCCCTCCGCCGCGACAACATGGTACCCGTAGCTCATTGGATGATGTTCGTGTATCGCGGTGGTATTTTCACCTTGTTTTCGCCCCGTTTTCAGTAGTAGGGCTTCAAAGTCAGCGTATACCACGAACGGTAGACGACCCGTCTTACACCACGCCTCGAATTTGAGCGTGTCTCCTTCTTTCGGCATAAGAGGAACAACCGGTTTGTATGCGCCGCACAGTAACCGGTGTTTCGCCAACTCCTGCTCGCCGTGTAATTTATATTGTAATGGACGATCCTCAAAACTGGCAAAGCACCGTTTGCAGTAAAACAATCGATGTTGGTGATTATTTTTTTGCGGGCTGGCTAGGCGCGAAAAATTCGAAATAAACGTGTAATGATTATCTTCATCCTTCCTGGTGAGTAAGAGCAGATCGAAATGATCTGCTTCTTCTTCGTCGGCGATGCGTAGCGGATATGCGACAGATTGTGTGGATGACTTTTTATTTTTTTTTTATTTTTCGCGCATTTTCTTACGCCGTATAAATTGACGCTCGTCCCGGGATTTGACTTTTCGAATAACATTAACTCCGACACGGGGGTGGGGGTTGATAGTGCAGAAAAGTCGTATCGGTGTTCTTCCCTCGAATAATTTGCACCTACTCGTGTGCGATCGTTAGATACATGTTTGGCGAGGATAGCCCACTTAAAACATTGCCGGTCAATATTTTGTGGGTTGACAACGGTTTTCCGGTTCAGAATACTTTCCGGCAACGGTAAGTACGACGATCCCCCCATAGGCATATATTCGTACACACCCAAGAGCAGTCCGTCGATACACGATAAGGTCAACCCGCTATACTTTCCGGCGTAAGAGTCTTCTTCCCCCAGGAGCCTTGTTCCAGGAGCTAATTAATCATTCATTTTTAAATTTTATGTCGGGTACCAAAAATCATAAGAAAAATTGCGTAAATAATCCTAGTATAAAAACCTTCTAAATTGTAAAATTTTAATTTAAAAAATAAAATTATAAAATAAAACTTTTTATGAAAAATTATAATGAAGGTATCCCGTAAAATTGTAGCTTCAATAATATAATAAAAATATATGAAATAATAAGAACTTCATTATAATTATTAAAAAATATTATGATATGGTATATTATGCTAAATAAAATAAAACCTCGTTAACTGCCAAGTATATAAGGAGGAATAAACAAATAAATAATAGAACTGTCAACTGACATCAAATTTACTAACTGCTAAAGTAGGACTAGAATAAAATAAAATATAATTCTACACAATTATATTATTTTGATATTGGTTGGTACTTACCACGAGCAAGAGTATAATATTTGAAAATGAAACAAAATAATGATATTGAAAAAAATATTCAAGACGTATGTTCATCAAAAGCGATAATAAATTGACAGAATCACTAATTAATTTAGATTTATAAGAATAAGTAGATACTAGATAGATACCACCACCACGGAGTCATAGGCGTGCGCAGAGTTTCAAGTCGGGGCAACAAATATTTTAACCGGCCCATACATGGGTGTAAAGTTAACATTTTTAAGCTCAAAATCAAAATTGAACTTTTGACCTTTAAATAAAACTATTTTAAACGATCATCATTGGTTAATCATAGATTGTTTTTGCTCAACACCGGTATACCATTACGGAGTACGAACTAAGATAATTATACGATTAGTCCATGCTATCTTCTAAGACCGTGGTGAAAAGATGTAAGAAATGTATAATAATTAATATTTTTTTTATTATATTAAAATATTTTAGAATGTCATCAAATTTAAAAGCAACAATTCTTTGCACAGTAGACGACATTTGTCTAAGATAATATATGGATCCTATACTTGGATTAACAACACATAAATCAGGTGTTACGCCAGTGACCATCTTTACTATGCGTGACAAGAAAATGTTAAGATTAAAACAAGATAAATATGAACAATCGCTTGGGCTGAGTTCTAGCTTTGTATATCGGCCATGTAATAGATAACCGAAGGATAGAGATTTCAAGATTTAGGCGTGAAAGTGGTGGCTACAAAAAACATTTACATGGATAACCAGATAATGGAATTATACATTTCAATGGCACCTGTCACAGTTGATTTTTTTTCTGGTAAAATACGAGAATATTCAGTGTGAATTCAAAATATACGGGCCAAAACAAAATTGTGGCTTGGTCTAGCAAGTTTCCTGAATCCCTATTGTGAGGCAAACACAGATATATTGTCATTATTAAATAAAAAATGAGACCTAGCGAAGAAATAACTGTGAACTTTGGCCAACATTATTTCGGACGAAACAACGAAGAATGTATGTGTCATTCCTGTGAAATTAAACACACAGGACATATTATCGAGAAAGTTAACAAGGTGCAGGTTGCATAATTTTGAATTCAGACTGCAGTGAAGAAGACTTTAGTTATATTTACATGCAACATGGGTGGACAAATTTTTTTGTACAAACGTTCACACATTGCTTCACTATGGTTCCAATTCATGCATGAGTAGAGTAAAAAAGACAGTTCTGGAACCAGATCCTGCTGGCAGATTCCTATGCTCTCGAGCAGATCCCTGACACACGGCAGCAGATCCCGCCGCCGACGGCAGATCCCACCACCGGTCGACTACCCCCACCAGCCGCCGCCGCGGGCACTCTATGGCCGCCGCCGCCGCCCGGGGAAAATAAGTTAAAAAATTTTTTCGTCCGACCGGGTTTCGAACCCGGGCCTGTGGTTTGGTGAGCGACCACTGTGCCACTGCGCCACCCCGCCACATATACTTAATTGGTAATAACTAGCTCTATTTAACTTGTATAAATGTACATATTATTTCTAATATCATTTAATGAAAATTATTTCTTATCACGAACGTGTTATCAAGCACCCGTTATTATTGTGCTCAGTTTTTATTTAAAATATTTGTACACGTTATATACGAAATAATAATTCAGGTATGTATGTTAATAAAAATATTTGTACACGTTATATACGAAATAATAATTCAGGTATGTATGTTAATAAAAATATTATTTATTATGTTTTTTTTAAAATCAACTCATTCATTTCGTCATAATCACTACCCCACCCCTCATACTTGTCCATAAGTCTATAGAGTTGCTCGTTATTTCCATCATCACTCCAATCCATTTCGACTGATGGCTGCGTCGTGTGTAATCTTATAGGCGCACGAGGAATTAACATATTCGGTGAATCTATAGATGACGATGATTCAAGTTCTGGAAATAAATCTGGCGACGATATTTCATTGTACTGCGGCGGTGTATTTTGCGGCGGTGTATTTTGCGGCGGTGTATTTTGTGGCGGTGTATTTTGAGGTACCGATGGTTCATGAATTGGGCTTGGAAAATGTCGTTCCCAATTATCCATCAATATTATGGGTGACTCCGGACATGTTAAATAGCCGCTATCTCCAGTTCGGTTCTAAATAATATTGGGATTTGTATTTTATGTTTTGTTTTTTAAAAAATATAAACTTACCAGAGCGCGATTTCTGAGACTGTTGTTATGAGCCTCTATTAATA